CAAGAGCTAGGATTACAGGCGTGAGCCACCGCGCCCGGCAGCCTCCATTTCTGAAATAGGAAAGAGACAGTGGCAGGACTAAAAAAGAAAAGTCTACCTACTGTCACATAGGCTAATACAGGGAGTTGTTTATACTTTTCATTCCAGTTGTACTGGCTATGTATATGTTGTCTCTCCAAGGCTAGCTGAATATTTATGTGATTTCCAGTATTTCCGTGTGTTTTGTACTTTTCTGTGCATTTATACATGTGAAGGTATGGAGCTATTTTATAGGGGGCTACCCAGCAATTGTCACTTTAAACCTGATAGTTTTATAATCATAAATAACCATGTAGACATGAAGTGATGCTTAACAATCAGGATAATTTTTATAATTCTTTGAGTTTTTTCTTTATATAACAATATATTCTTTATAGACAATTTAAAATTTAGGCCAGGCACGATGGCTCACACCTATAATCCTAGCACTCTGAAGGCTGAGGCAGGAGGATCACTTAAGGTCAGGAGTTCAAGACCAGCCTGAGCAACTGCGAGACCCTGTCTCTACAAAAAATAGAAATATTAGCTGGGTGTAGTCGCATGCACCTGTGGTCCCAGCTCCTTGGGAGGCTGAGGCCGAAGGATCAGGAGTTTGAGGTTGCAGTGAGCTATGATGATGCCACTGCACTCTACCCGGGGTGACACAGGGAGACTGTATCTCAAAAAAAAAATTTTTAAGGGAATCATTTAAATGACCAAAACAAGATGAAACACAATAAATTGTTTAACTTCTATCATTTGAAATTCATATATCCAGAAAAAGTAGGAAAGAGAGGTGGAACTAGTATATTTGAAAAAACTTTCTGATGAATGAGAATCAATACTTCATTTCTAGGGAAGCCTATGAAATTGAAATATAACTGTAAAGTAAGGAAGGGAGAAAGTTGATAAATAAAAAGAAGACAGAAAATCCAAAGAACAGAGGACAAGGAGAGTATAGAAGATGGTTGGAAAGGAGTAGCAATTGCCACAAAGTTAAATGATAGGGTTTAACTTCATTCCAACTACCGACTATTTTTAACATACTCAGATTAGATGAAGCAATGTACAAAGGAACTTCTATTTTGACAAAGTTTTAACCAAAGTAGAAATGCCTGAAACAAAATATTCTGACATTTGCAAACATTCTTTGCATTGAGAAAGGTCCATGAACAACATATGTTGGCATATGTTAATAATCCCATTACAGAATGTTGAGCACTCAGTGAAGCCACTCCTTGTCTTTCATAAACTTGAACTATGAGTATGATGAAGTAGGAGAAGTTTGGTTTGTAAACCTCAGTGAATTAGGAGATAAGGGAAGCAAGAGAGCAGACACTAGCAATGACACCAAAGGAAACCTGTTTGTTGCACCTTAGTCATCCTTAGCTTCTCAGCAACCCATGAATCTCTTGTTGAAAGGCACCAGCCATGAGGTTCACAAGAACAATTAAAACTCTCAGGAGGTTACTTTCTTTATGAAAGAAGCAAAGGAGGAGAAAAGAAAGGAAAAGTCTAAAATGTTCTCTTGATTTTCCTAAGAGACTGCTGAGACTGCTCAATTCTAGGGTGACATATACATGCCTAAAGGCAAAAAACACACTTGCTATTATTTCCTAGGGTCCTTCAGCTTCTATAGATAGAAAGCAAAAGAACACCTCTCAAGTATTACAAATGATTTCTTCAAGGAAGAAAAAACTAAAGAAGGTTAGAGTCTCAGTCAACATGAAAGTCAACCACAACCTTTTATTCATAATCAACAAATAGTTTTTGAGTGACTGTTTTGTGCCAAGTATTATTCTAGCTACTTCAAATAGTAATACATTAATTAATTAATAATGTGATTAATTAATGTAATTCATGCATTAATGAATAAGAGGGAAAAGATCCTCACGCTCATGGAGCTTAAATATAATAATAAATGCACTAGATAGCAGAATAAAAATATTTGACAGCAAAAGTGCTGTGAAAAAAAAAGTAGAGCATGAAAGAGAGAGAGGTAATGAGGCAAGTGACATAGGGATGGGAAATAGGTAAGCTTCAAGTGAGATTTGAGCCTAGACTTAAGACAAGAAAAATAGCTGTGCACATGATACAATTTATCCACATAACAAAAAACACTTGTACTACCCCCTAGAGTTTTTGAAATAAAAAGAAAAGAAAAGAAAAATTGCTATGCATATATACTATGTAAAGAAAATTTCGAGGTAGAAGGAATGATGAGTACAAAGGCTTCTGAGTCAAGGGCATGCTTGGTGTCGTCAAGAAATGGCAGAAAGTCCAAGTGGCCCAAACACAGGGAAGGAAGAGAAAGCAGTAGGAGGGGAGGTCTAAGAAGTAATAAATGATAGGTGCAAAGGCAGGAGGGCCAAAATGTTGACATCAACAGTTGTTTGGAAGAAGTTAATTTCAGCCTTCATGGATGACTTTGAAGGGTTCAAGACTTCAGTGGAGGAAGTCAGTATAGAAAACTAGAATTGGAAGGAGAACCTGAAGATGTGACTGAATTGCTGTACTCTCTTGAAAAAATGTGAATACATGAGGAGTTGCTTGTTATGGATGAGCAAAGAAAGTGGTTTCTTAAGAAGGAAACTAGTCCTGTTGAAGAGGCTATGAATATTGTTGCAATGATAACAAAGGATTTATAATATTACATAAACTTATTTGATAAAAACAGTGGCAGGGTTTGAGAGGACTGACTCCAATTTTGAAAGAAATTCTACTCTAGGTAAAATGCTATCAAACAGCATGGCATGCTATGAAGAAATCATTCATGAAAGGAAGAGTCAATCAATGCAGCAAACTTTATTACTGTTTTAAGAAATTATATCCATACACAGAAGAATGAAACTAGACCCCTATTTCTTACCATATACAAAAATAAACACAAAATGGATTAAAGACTCAAACATAATAACTGAAACTATAAAACTATTATACTAGGAAAAAACATAGGGGAAACACTTCAGGACATTGTTCTAAGCAGAGATTTTGTGGCTAAGAACTCAAAACCACAGGCAACAAAAACAAAAATAAGCAAATGGGACTATATTAAACTAAAATGCTTTTACACAGAAAAGGAAACAATCAAAAGAGTGAAGAAAGGACCCATAGAATGGGAGAAAATATTTGTAAACTACTCATCCAAAAAAGGATTACTATCTAGAAGATACAAACAACTCAACAGCAAAATAATAATAATAATCCCATTAAAAAGTAGGCAATGAGTATGAACAGACATTTTTCAAAAGAAGACATGCAAATTGTCAACAGATATATTTAAGAAAATGTACAACATCACCAATCATCAGGGAAATATAATCAAAACCAAACCACAATAAGATATCATCTCATCCCACTTAGGATATCTATTATCAAAAAGACAAAAATAGCCGGGCGCGGTGGCTCACGCCTGTAATCCTAGAACTCTGGGAGGCCAAGGCAGGCAGATTGCTTGAGGTCAGGAGTTCGAAACCAGCCTGAGCAAGAGTGAGACCCCGTCTCTACTATAAATAGAAAGAAATTAATTGGCCAACTAATATATATAGAAAAAATTAGCCAGGCATGGTGGCGCATGCCTGTAGTCCCAGCTACTTGGGAGGCTGAGGCAGAAGGATTGTTTGAGCCCTGGAGTTTGAGGTTGCTGTGAGCTAGGCTGACGCCATGGCACTCACTCTAGCCTAGGCAACAAAGCGAGACTCTGTCTCAAAAAAAAAAAAAAGAGACAAAAATAACAAATGCTGACATGGATGCAGAGAAAAGGGAATTCTCAGACACCACTGGTGGGAATTAAATTAACACAGCCATTGTGGAAAAGAATATGGAGGATTCTCATAAAACTAAAAATACAACTACTATATGATCCAGCAATCGAGGCTTTGGTATTTATCCAAAGGAAAGAAAATCACTATATCAAAAAGATACCTGTACTCCACTAGTCACAATAGCAAAGACACAGAATCAAACTAAGTGTTCAACAGTAGATGAATGGATAAAGAAAATGTGGTATAATCCAGGAGCAGTGGTGTGTGCTTGTAGTTCCAGCTACTTGGGAAGGTGAGGCAGGAGGATCGCTTGAGCTCAGGAGCTTGAGGCTAGCCTGAGCAACATAGCAAGACCCCATCTGTAAAAGAAAAGAAGAAGAAAAAGGGGAGGAAAAGGGAAAGGGAAAAGGAAGGGAAGAGGGAGAGAAGAGGGAGGGGAGGGGAGGGGAGGAGAGGGGAGAGAAAAGGGAAGGGGAAGGAGGGGGAGGGAAGGAAGAAGGGAAGAAAGAAGGAAGGGAAGAGGGAGAGAAGAGGGAGGGGAGGGGAGGGGAGGAGAGGGGAGAGAAAAGGGAAGGGGAAGGAGGGGGAGGGAAGGAAGAAGGGAAGAAAGAAGGAAGGGAAGGGAAGGGAAGGGAAGGGAAGGGAAGGGAAGGGAGAAGGGAAGGGAGAAGGGAAGGGAAGGGAGAAGGGAGAGGTAACACTATTCAGCCATAAAAAAGAATGAAATTCTGTCATTTACAGAAACCTGGATGGAACTAGAGGCCCTTAAGTTAAGTGAAATAAGCCAGGCACAGAACAACAAGGCTGTACTAATGCATGTTCTCATTCATATGTGAGAGCTAAAAAACTGGATCTCATGGAGGTAGAGAGTATAATAATAGTTCCCAGAGGCTGGGAAGAGTGGGGGACTGGGAATGAAGGGAAGTTAGTTAATGGGTACAAACAAACAGAAGGAATAAGTTCTAGTTTCAATAGCACCGTAGGGTGACTATAGTTAAAAACAATATATTATAAATATATTTCAAAACAGCTAGAAGAGAAGATTTGAAATATTCCCAACAAAAAGAAATGATAGGTGAATGTTGGGGCGGGCGGGGGTCCGCTGGGCTCCTCTAGTCCTCTGGTTGGAAAGACGTGCAGCATGAAGAAGGGTCCAAGGCTTCCCTGGCCTGCCACTGCGAGCCCCACCCTGGCGGCTAGCGGGGAATCACTTCTGAGCCTTCTCCGTCTCCATCTTCCTCCCTCTCCCTCCTGCCACTCATGAAAAGAGGCCACCAATTCTAAAATCTTCAAAACAATATGTAACACCTCACATTACAAATTTTGGTGAAATGAAGCATTACTTGTGTGGCTGCTATGCAGCTTTCAACAATGTAGCAATCACATTTCCTGTTCAGAGGTCCTTTTTCGGCAACAGCTATGTGGCATCAAAACCTGGGATGCTATACTTCAGTTGAGGAGGGATGGATTTCGAAACTTATGTCATGGAAAGCTTCATCCGTTAATGCAAAAAACAACCACACTGGCACTTATGTTTGGTCTGTATGAGGATTTATCCTGCCTTCTCCGCAAGCATGTCAGTGCTCCGGAGTTTGCAACCCACAGCATGGCAGCAATACTGGCAGGGACAACAGAAGCAATTTTCACTCCATTAGAAAGAGTTCAGACATTGCTTCAAGACCACAAGCATCATGATAAATTTACAAACACTTATCAGGCTTTCAAGGCCCTAAAATACCACGGAATTAGAGAATATTATCAAGGCTTGGTGCCCATTCTTTTCCACAATGGACTCAGCAATGTCTCTCTTTTTTTTTTTTTTGGCCTTCGAGGTCCCATTAAGACGTTGCATCTGCCTACTGCAATGTCTCACAGTGCTAATTTGCTCAACAATTTTATCTGTGGAGGTCTTTTGGGTGCCATGTTGGGATTCTTGTTTTTTCCAGTTAATGTTGTAAAAACTCGTATACAGACTCAGACTGGTGGGGAATTTCAGTCTTTCCCCAAGGTTTTCAAAAAAATCTGGCTAGAACGGGACAGGAAAGTGACAAATCTTTTCGGGGGTGCCCATCTGAATTACCATTGGTCCCTCATCTCTTGGGGCATAATCAATGCGACTTATGAGTTCTTGTTAAGATTATATGAAAAAAATCATCAGTTAAGTGCCACTTATCAACTGAATGCCTAAGAAGAATGTAGTTTGGCCTCTTTCCTAATTGGCCAACTACAAGCTAGTGTCTTAAGTCCAGGCCACAGTGAGTTATGGGCAAAGCTGTTTTCCTTAAGCATCAACAAAAACAGAATAAAAGGTTTCAGTGGGAAAGTTTAAGGGTTTTTTTGTTTTGCTTTTTTAAAATCATTATCCAAGAACTGTAGGCCAATTACTTGCTAAATAGCTGTCCATCTGATGGCTTTTGATAGGGAACCTAATACCCAAGATATGATTCCTTTTCTCAAAACAGTCTAAACCTTCTGTATTGGAACATAAATGGCCAGGACCAGCCAGGGAAAAGGCCCCTAAGCCCCAGGATTTCTCAAGCTTACTTTACTCTATGTCTTGCTTCTCTGCTCTCAGTAGTTACAATGGATAGTCTTCATTAAACTCAAGCATATGACAAAGGGGCAGAACTCAAGAGAAACAGTTTACGAGGTATAGACTTCTCATGATAAACTGCTTGTACTGATTTTAAAACTAAGCACCTGTTGTATAGTCATTATCTATATCATTTCCATTTTGACATAATAGAATCAAGCAGCTAATGAAAGTTCCCATTTTGCTTTCTTGGTTTGAAAGTTTTCTGTTTAATTCTGAATGTGACCTTCAACCTTCCAAAGTATACTTAGGTTAATTTCACTTATTTCATTTGCCAAAAGATGGAGCGACATAGGTTATTTTTGTTACAGGTCTTTCATCCTTTTAAGAAGGTTCATGTTGCATGTAGAGATCAAACTCTAATTAGCTTGGTTTCATTGAATTATTGGTGCCAACTTAGCAAAGGGCTTTGGGATTTTTTTTTTTTTCATTTAGTAGTATGTCCTATTCAAGTATCTTGTTCTCTTGAAACTCTCCTTTTAAAAATAAACACTTCCATAAAATTTTATTTTAGAAGATAATTAATGTAATCCTAGATTCCCCCCAATTTCTAAATGTTACAGAGGGAGGGGTAAAAGGCTCAGGATAGCTTTCACTCCACATTATTAGCTATCTTTTATTTTACTCTTGGAAATAAAGACTTCTTAGGGGCCGGGCGCGGTGGCTCACGCCTGTAATCCTAGCTCTTGGGAGGCCGAGGCGGGCGGATTGCTCAAGGTCAGGAGTTCAAAACCAGCCTGAGCAAGAGCGAGACCCCGTCTCTACTATAAATAGAAAGAAATTAATTGGCCAACTGATATATATATATAAAAAAAAAATTAGCCGGGCATGGTGGCGCATGCCTGTAGTCCCAGCTACTCGGGAGGCTGAGGCAGAAGGATCGCTCGAGCCCAGGAGTTTGAGGTTGCTGTGAGCTAGGCTGACGCCACGGCACTCACTCTAGCCTGGGCAACAAAGCGAGACTCTGTCTAAAAAAAAAAAAAGACTTCTTAGGATTTTGACATTTTGGGAACTCAGTTTACCACTGTGTCATTTAAATAATAAGACAGTTTGAGAGCATATGCTCCACAGACATTTAAAGGGTTATTTTGTATTCTAGAAGTGATAATAGCCAGATCACATGCTCATCCCTTAGTTAACAAAAACTTAATTGTCAAAAGAATCAGAAAATATTAAGATATTTTTTCAAGATAAGGCAAAGTGACTCATACACCAATTGAATAACTAATGAAGTATAAGAAATAGCCTGGAAAAGTGGTTTATGAATCCTTTAAAAGCCCCAATCTGTAAATACTGTGTAGTTAAGATTGTTTTCCAGCTTCTGACATGACAGTAGGTAGGTTTCTTACTAACTAGTTTTTCATCTTTCTGGGTAATTGCATGTGAATATGTGCACTTACCAAAATAAACTCAGAGCTTCAACTGGCAGTTTACTTGAAATTTCTGGGCAAATAGTCCAAAAACACTGTTTACCTCTAAATGCAGCATGACTGATTAAGTAAAGTGAAGATCCTTCTTCCAACCGTAAAGGATTACGAGGCATATTAAGCATTAGCTAGAGCTAGACAGTAAGGAAGCTAAATAGCAGCTCTGTTTGACAATGTTGTGCTGGATATAATAGTTTATTTTAGATGATTTAAGGTGCAGATGTAAGGATTTCAGAAAAAATGAATTTGACACCAAATAAATGTGAGTAGCATCCTTTGGCCTATTATAGAGTTAGGATTTGAATGGAATTGAGTTTCAGAAACAAAGAAGACACCTTAGTGCCTGACTCGCTACCCCCCTTCACATGTGTGCCCCTGAGCACTCACGGACATGTCTAGCTCCTCAGGTGAACTAGTCTGGAGTGGACTCCATTGGGCCTTCTTTCTGCTGGGCTTGCTTTTGTCTTTACACTCCATGCAGGTGGTAGAAATCTAAGTTCTAAAGCACTTTTGTGAAATAATAAGTGAAGTGAGAATTCTAAGGAAGAGGCTTTGGTTTCTGCTGTCTCAAATAAGTGGCATTTAGAAAACAATTATTAGTAAATATTTTTAATAGTTTTAACTCAGTATTTTTTTATTTGTTACTTTTTACAGCTTTTGAAGACCAAACTGCAAATATATTACCAGAGATGGTTTTGTGTTGTCCTATAGACTTCTTAAATTTAACAAAAAAAATTGAACAGAACTTGTAACCAACAATTTTGAACTTTAAGTCAAAATATGTTATTAAGAAATTCTATTGTTTTTACCTTCAGTGTGAACTACTATGGTAATAATTTTGAAAAGGCAAACATGATTGAATAACTATCTGAAAAGCTTTAAAAGTGGCTTTTCTGTTACATATGTGGCACAAACAGCTCATGAGTGCAAGACACTTATGTGTCATACTTTTTGTCTAATGCCACCAGAAATATTATAGATTCTGTATTTAACACACTTAGAGTGGTATGAGCCCTCAGGACTGCACCACAGAATAAACACAACCTTTATATGGTGGCATATTTGTGTCTTCTTTGTTTCATTTGTGCTTAGAGATGAAGTTGATATTTTTGTCTAAATAGTTGATTGATACACATCTTAATATGGTTGGCTCTGTAATCACCTGCTACATATTATGAACTGTGCAATAAAACACAATTGTGTATATATAGTTGCCTTTGGATACTTGAAGTTCCCCAGCTCAATTACAATGGTGATACTTGGTGTAAGGCTGTGCAAACATGTAAGGGAATGATGGTAGTAGATGGGATATATGAAATGGGATCTAGAGGGATTACTTCAGTGAAGCCAATCATGTTGAACTAAGAAGTATGGTAGAGTGAGGGGTAAGCAGTCATAAAATGAAGGGTAGACAGAAGATTATGTGGGAAGAAAGAGTAAGCACTCAAATCTAGTTTCTTTTAAAATATTTGTTTTCTCATGTGCAAATAAATGCATATCAAAGACTTGAATAGGCATTCTCTCGAAATTTGAGAATTTTTAGTTTTTAGTGCTTTTTACTTAATAAACATTTGTTGCCTAATGTTTCCCAAATTATATGGGAGTGTGTACATGTTTCCTCTTAAAATTTCATTTGTAAAAGTGGTTAAGCACATAAAGCTATTTTTGTTTAATATTTTGAGTTTTGTGACTGAGTTAAGTGAAATCTGTTAATGTTTCAGAGTTAACATACTTTTGGGTAATTGTTTGGAATAAAGTTTTTTAAACCCACCCTAAAAAAAAAAAAAAGAAATGATAAATGCTTGAGGTGATGGATATTCTACGTACCCTGATTTGATCATTATACATTAAATGCATGTGTCAAGATATCACATGTACCCCATAAATATTTGCAATTACTATATATCAATTTTAAAAGTCGAAAAAAAAAAAAAAACAGAAATTGCCAAAGCCACCTCACCTTCAGCAACCACCACCCTTATCAATCAGCAGCCATCAATATCAAGGCAAGACCCTCCACCAGCAAAATGATTATGACTCACTGAAGGCTCAGATGATCATTAGCATTTTTAGCAATATAATTACAGTATTACATTGTTCGTGAGACATAATTCTATTGCACACTTAATGGACTTAATATATAGTGTAAACATAAATTTCATATGCACTAAGAAGCCAAAAATTTCATGCAACTCACTTTATTAAGATACCTTATTGAAGTAGTTAGGAACTGAACCTGCAATATCTCCAAGGTATATCTGTGTATACCTTGAGATACAGACATGTATATATCTCTCTCACATACATAGACACCTAGGATAAGTTTATGAATTACTTCATTTGGGAAGAACAAATATCTGGTCATCTTTGTATAACTGAAGCCAGGCCTTACACAATATGCAATCTTAATTGTTCAAGTTCTTTCATAAATAATTTGGCACTACAGTTTATTATTTTCTTCTTGATTATGTTAAAAATCCCAACCTGAGCTGAGCAAAAAGGGGGCCCATTACAATGATACAGTGCTTTTTCATGGAAGCCAACAGTAAGAATGAAACCACATCCCAATCAGGTATGTAAATCAATAAGGGTACCAGTAGGAAACAAAAGTTTATCAGAAGAGAATTTAGCAAAAAAACTACAGAAATGTGGACAAGTTAACAGACTTAATAAGGTATGATGAGGCACCAAGAATGAGTAGAAAACCAGTATCATGCCTTGGGATAAAAGTTGGAGTGAAAGGAATGTTGTCACCATAGTCCAATAAGAGCCATAGCTATGAAAGAGGACCTACCTGACAGTAGCTGTTGAAAAATGAAGCCATTAGCAGGAATGTACAGGAGCAGAGGAAGCAAAGGAAATAAATACCCTAATGCTTTTTTCTCTCACCTTCTTAATCTCCTGCCGGTGCACCTATACTGTCCAAACCCAACCAGAAGCTGGAAGGCAAAGGAGCCCAGATCCAAAGAAGTCAGCCTCCCAATGCACAAGGCAAAACAGAGAGCAATGGAGAATGGACTGGTGGGAAGACCAGGGTGTAAAAGAGTGAATAACCAACACAATATGGAAACAAAGACCACTCTATAACAATCCAAAAGGACTAATTCAGTGTATAGTCCTTTCATAGGAACACATTCTTTGTATAGAGTGTGCATGTATATAGGAAATTAGGAAGTTAAAAAAGGATAGTTACTAAAAGATAAGAATAAAAAGTTTCATAGAAGACAATTCTTTTTCTATAGGCTTAGTAATAACTTATGAGTTGCTTTTTTATCAACTATTTCATTTTAAAACTCAAAGGTGACACGACCTCATTATTCTTAGCTTTTTAAAATCAATTCTGAAGAAATATTTAAGGTAATATTGAAGCAAATGATATGCTATGACAATATTTAACAATTTTTATTTTATCCTCCAAAGCTACATTAAATGTAATTGAAAACTCGTTACCTATACCTATTTTTATGTCATTTTTATTATACATTGTGATTTGCCCACGGTAACAAACTAAGAAACACCAACACTTTTGAGGAAAGTTTCAATAAAAATGAAGAAAGTAATAAATTAATTTCATAAAATTACAACTAAAAACATACAGACTAAAAAAAAAGAGATGATAGCAATTCACACTAAGTTTATAATAATATACCAACTAAGAAAT